GAGAGAGAGAGAGAGAGAGAGAGAGAGAGAGAGAGAGAGAGAGAGAGCTCGGGCGGCGTGTGCCACCGGTGGTTCACGCTCGCGTGTTTGTCAGATGTTGCGTGCCGCGGCGCCGCCCCATGGCAAGAAACAGAAATAGCAGTGCCGGCGTGGACGTGTTAAAATCTACTCTTTTATTATTCGTTTAAAAGTCTTATAGGTTTAGCGTTACACTAAGCTCTATTCTTAATGAACTAGTCGTGCACCAAGATGTCCAACATGTCCATTGTCAAATTACTCTTGCGAACAATAATTGAAAAATGGCGTGAAGAATTTCAAGGCTGAATGCCGTTAACGAACCGCTGATACATTAAAAAGTGCGAAACGAGGGGTTGAAGTCCACGCGAGCGGCACCTGCACGAAACAGACCCTTGTGTGGGAAACGTCGCGCGTGTCCTTCCGCCCACGCATTGCCCTAACACGACGAGAATTGGGTTAATGGCGTCGTGAAAGAGGAAGGCCCGGCACGCATACGGTTCATCATCGTGTATCCACGTTGTTCACCCTAGGGACCTTTGACGCTGGACGAATTACCGCTGTCACAATCAAATCCTCGTAAAAATCCAGGGCGGAATTTTCCTCCCTTACAGAAAATTAACTAACGACCGCGATCGAATATTTCCGCGATGTCGCGTGTGATTCACTTGTACTTTACGACCTTCTCTTTGGAATTACAATTTCATTCATTGTCAAATATTTGTAACGCTGAACCTAACCGCGGTCATTTCATAACTATATTTAGTTTTTATTAAAAGCAGTATTTGTTTCACGAAGATTCCTTTCTCTATGCTAAAGCCCCGAATACGGTTCTGCTGAAGCGTTGCAAACTCAAGGCGACTTACCATGGAGACGTTACCGGTCTCAGTTGGTCTGTCTGTTCTAAAACGCGTTCCTCGTCGCATGGAATAGGAATCCATGTAATCTTAATTAATTCCCAGTAATATCATTCATGATATACAGTTCTCGTTTCTGTTTAATTATATTACAGTATTTTAAGCTTGTACTATATACGTATCTTTTTGTATGGCTTAATAAATAATAAATAACATTCCAATAGCTTCCCTTTAGGGGAAAAGAATTCACATTCTCCGAATTAAATCGAGAAATATTTCACAGTGGAACCGAATCGAATCCACCGAAATAATTGCATATAATATTACGGAGCAAGTAATGATTCCGTTCTCGTAGATCAGGGATTCGTGATCTCGGAACGAAAGGAACAGGAACGATTCAGAGATTTGTCATCCTCGTTGCCCCGAGAGCTTGATTACAGGCGACGTAATTGTCACGAGAGAATCAAAGGATGACGGCATCATGCTCGGTCACCTAGCTCAACGCTTATTCGGCTCCTCCTACACGGTGCTTCATAATTAAACGTCCGCCCGTTTCGTTCAATCGTCGTCCACCCTCGCGGATGTACCGAGCGGTCAGCAGTCGTCTTCGTACCGGCCTTAATGTCTTCGAGAAGGAAACGCGAATTACCGCCGACGGGCAACTCGGTTTTAACGATTCCGGTTCCCACCGCTCGACGCCGCTCTCGAGACCTCTCCTCGCTATAATACAACGAGTTGCGATATTATCGCAACGAGAGCGCAATTCGAGTCGCAAGTTTCGTTACAATTTTGGATACCGATAGACGTTTTTATTCTGTTTATGAAAATATAGTATCACGGGGGTATACTCGCTACTATAAAAGTCTAAACGAAAAGTAGGGCCACGGAGATTCGAACTCGCGACCATCGAACTCACAGTCGAGCGCTTTTCCTACACGACCAATCCCGCACCCTACGATTCGTGGTCTCGTTTGACTACTTATGGCTCGTCCTGAAAACTGTTATCGCTTTGTATATCGACGTTAATGTAGTACTTCTATGGACATCGAGGCGTGCTCTACATTGGTCCATCGCGATTCCGCGACGTTTTTCGATTATCTCGCGATCGGCCATCGAATATGGAATAAGCCCAGAGGCTGTAACCGACGCGTGCGTGCACTGGAATGGCAACCCTAACTGGGTTAACGACGGGTCACGGAAGCCTCGAATGTTTTCACTCGCTCCTAGAAACCGGCTATCGTGTTTTCTGCGGCGCTGAATTCGCTGGGAAAATTTGTAGGCTGTTGCGCGTCGAGTTCCGATTAACCGATAAGGGGAAAAATTGCTCGATGGAACGGGACAGGTTCGTGTTCCGATGCCATCGTAACCGTCGTTTCGGTCGTTCTGCCGGCGAGGCGATGTTACTCGATAACACCGTAAACGATGGACAGTCAGATATGAAATACTATTTATAGAGTATGATGTCTTCGAGTGTTTAAGGAAATTATTTTAGACTTCGAGGACCTTTCTGCTATTTGTGTTTCTTGCCGTGGGGCGGCGCGGCGGTACACGACATCTGATAAACACGCGAGCGTGAGCCACCGGTGGTACACGCCGCCCGAGTGGGACATATTTGAGTATGTGAGCCACCGTTGGTACACGCCGCCCGAGGAGACATATTTGAGTATGTGAGCCACCGGTGGTACACA